TGTATTCCCCTTCCTGATTTTATGTGAGCCGCCCTGAGTCCCCTCAGGGAAAAGGGCGGCCTATAAATGTTAATAAACTATAAACTATAACTATGGTTTGATTTCAGTTTAGAGCGCCGTGTTTTTGTAAGCCACAATTTACAGTCTCGTCTAATGCACACATCCAGACCCCCTAGGCCAGGGGTCTCCAACCTTGGCAACTTAAGACAGTTTTGCTGGCTGAGGAATTCTGGGAGTTGAAGTCCACAAGTCTTAAAGTTGCCAAGGTTGGAGACCCCTGACGTAGGCAACTAACTGTGTTAAAGCAAAGCACACATGGACAAAAGTTGGGAAAAGCTCTTAACTTTTCCTTCATCCCAAGGATTGATGATAAATCTTTGTGATCCATCCTTTGGTGCTTTAGGTGTGTAGTTTGCACCTAACACATTCAGAACCAAATGATTTGGGGTTAGTTTGTGGTCCACCTTGTTGTGCCAACTTGTTACTTAAAAATTGTATGAGCCCAGGTACTTGGGCTCCTTTGCTAATTTTGGTTCAAGTAGTTGCATGTTTTTTTTTTAATTTTATTTTCTACCCATCTTGCCAAAAAGAAACTCTGTGGTACAGATTTCAGCAGAGTTGGGCGTCACACTTTTTTCCCCTCTGAAAGATCCAAACAATGGATCCAATTGATTTCCTGCACCACACAAGAATCTCTTTTTGCTTCCTAACAATAAATTATTACATTGATATGCTGCCCGTCTCAATGATTTGGGGTGACTTACACATGGTTAATATTTTAAAACAAAGAATGATGAGAGCTTCTTCCCCTGTAGTCTTAGTGATGGTCTAATGAAAGGAATTTTCTTTGTCAATGTTGAAAATGTGAAGATGTTCAGAAATGATTCCCCTCGCACATATGTGCTAGTCGTTCCCAACTCTAGGGGGTGGTGCTCATCTCCGTTTCAAAGCCGAAGAGCCAGCACTGTCTGAAGATGTCTCGGTGGTCATGTGGCATGAATTGAACGGCGCACGGAACGCTGTTACCTTCCCACCAAAGGTGGTTCCTATTTTTCTACTTGCATTTTACGTGCTTTCGAGCTGACGAACTGACGACCTTTCTGATCGACAAGCTCAGTATCTTAGCGTCCCTAAGACGATTCTAAAGCTGTATTAATAACCAAGGAAGCATAGGGCAAATTTTTAAGGTAAAGGTTCCCCTCGCACATATGTGCTAGTCATTCCCGACTCTAGGAGGCAGTGTTCATCTCTGTTTCAAAGCCAAAGAGCCACTGTCCGAAGACATCTCCATGGTCATGTGGCTGGCATGACTAAACNTCCCAGAATTCCCCAGCCAGCGAATGCTGGCTGGGGAATTCTGGGAGTTGAAGTCCGGACATCTTCAAGTTGCCAAGGTTGAGAAACACTGCCTTAAGGTTCCTGAACAAAAAGTTTCAAGGAACAACCAATATGACTGAATGTTGCACCCTCTTTAATAACGTATTTACCTTTGTGCTTCTTTCCTCAGCATTGACAAGATTTCAAAAGTCACCTCTCCCGTTTTGGTGATCCATGGTACTGAAGACGAAGTCATCGATTTTTCCCACGGTTTGGCAATGTATGAGCGATGCCCCCGGGCTGTGGAGCCCCTTTGGGTGGAAGGGGCTGGCCACAATGACATAGAGCTCTATGCACAATACCTAGAACGACTAAAACAGTTCATATCTCACGAACTTCCTAATTCTTGAAGACACCTACAGTACTTGATATACTTTTTTTTTCCTTTCATTTTTTCCCTTTGCTTTTTATTTTTTTATTTTTTACCTCATTTAACTGTGAATAGAAGAATTTACCTGTTTTTGCACATGCATTAACTGGATTAACTGTCATAGCTTTATACTATGAAGAAAAAAGCCCTTTGGATAGGGCGAGATCCAATCAAGTCTTGACTGTCTCCCTTTTTTATATCAGGAAGCTATTCTAATGGCCACTACTGTAACCCACACAATATTTTGTACTTTTCCTTACACTAGAAGCGCTGGCGATGTAGAAGGACATTGGATGAACGTGAGGACACTATTTAATCTTAAGAGCAGGATAATATTTCCACATTTTCCTATCCTGCCCTTCAGGTAGCTCGTCTTAGATATCTGTATGTATAGGGATTTTCTTTTTCTCCCCCTGCCCCCCCCCCCTCTCTCTCCCTCTTTTTAAAATCTTCCCATGATCTGGAAAGCAAAGGGCCTGGATCGCAGCTTCAGTCTCGGAGCATTTCCCATGTCACATTTTCAAACTGTTGTTATTGTAACCGGAAAGGGATTTTGTGGTGATTTTTCATTGTGTTTCTTAGGGGAGCATTTGGGGTGACTTTTCCTTCCTAACTATAATGTTGAATGAAAAATTTCTGGAGAATGCCCACAGTTTGGTAACGCTGAAGCAATTCTCGAGCAGCATTTCAATTGTCTTTTTTTTTCTTTTTTTGCAAATTTACAAAATGAAATACTTGGAAAGTTATAATAACTACACGGACATGAATTCTTTTGAAAACAATAAAAACTGGAAGAAATGTACAAATTTACTAATCCCATTCCTAAAATAATGTTCTCAATCTTAAATAAGAGCCAGCTTTGGCAGTTACATGTGTGACTTGCATTCCTTTTAAAGGTTTTTTTTTTTTTGAAAAAAAAAATATTGTATATAAGTGGGTTTCCGTTAATGCATAACTCCCGGCGATTTATAAAATTTAAGTCTAGTTAACAAATTCTGGTATATGAGTATGTTTTGTTATAAGTTTTTATCCCTGCCTTGCTTTGCTATTAAAAGGTTTTATAAGATTACCAGACCAACTAACAAATTGCACATTCGTTTTTTGATGAATTTGCCTAACTCTTTCATTGAAACTGGTCCTTTTTTTTTGTTGTTTGTTTGTTTCTTTGGGGAATTTTTTTTTCATTCTGACACTGGAATTGCACAGAATATGCAAAACACTCTTTAAATCATTACACTAAAAGGCCTAAAGTTTTGTCCCCAAGTTTAACGGCCTTAAATGTACTGTAAGCCTTTGATTGTTGTACAAACAGATTGCAATTGATTATGGTTTGTGTATTTGTTGCCAGAACGCAACAACAGTGGTTGTAATGGAATAAAGGATGCATGGAATAGAGATTGCCAATTATTGTATTGCTTTTTCTTAATCACTGTACTGTAAATGGAGAATGCATAACCCAGGGGTCGGCAACCTTAAACACTCAAAGAGCCACAAAGGTCCTAACCAGAAGCTCCCCATTCAATTCTGGAGCCGACTGGAAATCCGGTTTCCCCACCATAGAGTCTCCTCCTAGTGAAGCATCCTTTTTCCTCTACCTGTCCTAATCGAAAGCTCTACCAATTGTGGAGCTGACCCGTGACAGGGAGCCGCAGCCAAGGGATGAAAGAGCCACATGCGGCTCCAGAGCCATGGGTTGCCGACCCCTGGCATAACCAAATATTTCTGTTGGTATCTGCCAAAGGAAGAGAGAAGCTTTCACTTGAGATATTATTTTGTTGCAATATGGAAGCATGGCGGCTTAATGATGTTGCTATTGGAATCAAACAGGGAAATTTAAATCGCTAATCTCCATTTTAGAAAGAGCATCTCTTTTGAGATCATTTTGCATTCTGCCTTGTGTTGGCTATTCTGGGTTTAGTTGTGTTTGATTTTACACAAGAGTTTCATTCCAGCTTAGTGGCAGTCAAATGCTTTGGTCGTTTAGGGACTAAAAATTTTGGCCAAGTGTTTCCTGTGTTGGGTCTAGGTATTAACCCATATATTTTGTCTTGGGGCCCCACCCCTGGAGTTCTCTCTCCAATGGCACCGTTTCCTAGCATTCTGAGTCACGGCAACCAAAAAAATTGTGGTTCCCCCCCCCCCCCAATCTCTCCAAAAATGTTAATTGTGGTTTCTGGCTATCAAAGGATTTCCTATCCTGCCTAAGCTGGTTGTCTTCTGACCTAGGCTTCCCAAGAGCATGAAGCAAACTCCTTGTCCCCACAAAAAACCCTTTGATTAATGGATTGTGAATTCTGCTCATTCACATCCAGCGAAGTCTTTCAAGGGAGGATTTACAGTCACAGACCTTATCTGACTTGGAGAATGACCAGGCCGATTTCTGCAAAACCTGGCAAGGAATCTCAGAGAGTCACAAACTAATTAAGCAAACTAATTGTCTCCTGCAAACTCCACTCCCCTTTCTCTCCTCTTTTATTTTCTCTGGGAGGGGCCATTCACCGTCCACCTGTGGCCTTCCTCCCAAGTCGACCCCTGTTCTTTAGCTGTTCCCTTCGTCTGGCAACTATGCATGTGCACACTGGGAACAGGCTCCAGCTGTTCGTCTGCCTCACTGATGTCTGAAGGCAGCTGATAACTGGCATATGGCTCTGGCCCCCTCTCTGCCTCCGACACGGAGCCTTCTCCAGACTCCAGGACTGGCCCATGTTCCTCCCCAACCTTCTCACTGGCCGCTAGCGGACCACAAAAGGTTGCTGGTTGGGGGAGGTTTAATGTCCTAGAGCAGACCCTTCACTTGAGTGCACAATGGCAGAAGAACTCCAGCTATCTTTTAATCCTGACCTTGGCACTGTGAACTCTTTGTTGGAGGAAACATAGGCCCCCCTAGATGCAATCTGCAAAACATATTTGGCCATTTCTGTTCCAAGGGTTATTATTTATGAGAGGCTGGCACAGGCTTCTCTGCTGTCAATAAGTAAACTCTGAATTTTACAAAGAACTTCAGTGTTGCAGGTCTGCATAAACACCTGCCTTTTGATGCATGTAAAGCAGCTGCATAAGGAAAATACTGGAGTATTTTACAGGCAACTACTAAGTAAAAAAAAAACACACACACACAGTTCAAGGCTCTGACTGCAGCAGGAATGTAATTCCCCCACACACACACACACAAACACCCCTGTTGAGAAACAAAGCATTAGTTTCACAGCATAGCAAAGCTAGAATAAAGATAATATAATGATTTTAATATTTATTTATTTATTATCAAAATTATATATTAGATTAATTTCTTCTTAATGCATGGGAAGAGGAGTGTTCAACATGCAAGCTTTGGCAGCTTTGTGGCTTGTCTCGTGCAAATGTACATGGGGCATTTGTGGTTCAGTGAATTGTGTGAATATGTGTGAAGACCTAGTTTAGTAAACCATGGTTTAACAAATTGGGAGAACACAGCCCTTGTATTCAATTTTTTAAAATTCAATATCTGGAAGGCGCTAGGTATTTTCTTAGAGTTTTATACCATCTTCAAGTACCAGTAGCTGCTACAAATTGCCCAGCGTCTCTATATATCTGATGAAACCCCACCACCTCTTCAAGCAATTTATTTTGCTATCCAAATGTTCTCCCTTTAGCTGCATTCTGCTCCCTGCTCAGATTTCCCAGGGCTTCCTTTCAAATATTAGACCATGATTGTTGCATTGCCTTACCAGAAACAAGTAACTCCTTTCTAGATCCCTTACTATCGATGAGATTATCGATCAGAAAGGTCGGCAGTTCAGTGATTTGAATCCCTAGCACCGCGTAACAGAATAAGCTCCCGTTAACTTGTCCCAGCTTCTGCCAACCTAGCAGTTCGAAAGCATGTAAAAATGCAAGTTGAAAAATAGGAGCCACCTTTGGTGGGAAGGTAACAGTGTTCCGTGCTCTTTCGGCGTTTAGTCATGCTGGCCACATGACCACAGGGATGTCTTCGGACAGCGCTGGCTCTTCGGCTTTGAAACGGAGATGAGTACCGCCCCCTAGAGTCTGGAACAACTAGCACATATGTGTGAGGGGAACTTTTACCTTTAACTGAATGCAAGACCCAATTTGCTGCTTGCACCCATTAAACGTTTTTCAGTTATAGGATGAAACAATGGGATTGGATTTTTCTCTGATGCACCTTAAGTGACTGTCCTAAATTGGGATTTCATTTACCTCCCTCCTCCTCCATTTCAAATATGTAAGAGTACTAAAAATGTTGCTTGTACTATATTAAATTTCATGCCTCACACCAAAAAGCTGGTGTTCAACCAGTTCTTGTATCAGCTGATCCTGTGAAGTAAACTAACTTATCCAGACTCCAATTGAATTAATGGATTTTGATTAGAACAGCCATTGTCTCAGTTCCCCCGAAGAAAGATTATCTTATTAAATACATTTACACTTGGCTCAGAGATCCCTTCAGATATACAGATGATACCACCCTAATGGCAGAAAGTGAAGAGGAACTAAAGAGCCTCTTGATGCAGGTGAAGAAGGAGAGTTGGCTTGAAGCTCAACATTAAGAAAACTAAGATCGTGGCATCTGACCCTCTCAATTCCTGGCAAATAGATGGGAAAGAAATGGAGGTAGTGACAGATTTTATTTTCCTGGGCTCCAAGATCACCGCAGATGGGGACTGCAGCCAAGAAATTAAAAGACGCTTGCTCCTGGGGAGGAAAGCTATGGCAAATCTAGACAGCATACTAAAAAGCAGAGACATCACCCTGCCAACAAAAGTGCGTATAGTCAAGGCGATGGTTTTTCCAGTTGCAATGTATGGCTGTGAAAGTTGGAGCATAAGAAAGGCTGAGTGCCAAAGAATGGAGGCCTTTGAACTATGGTGCTGGAGAAGACTCCTGTAAGTCCCTTGGACTGCAAGACGATCAAACTG